TGCTGATCACATTGGAACTATCCTTGGAAAGGCTAAAGTTTCAAATTTATACACTGATATACATAAATACAAAAACTTATATAATTTGTAAAAATTATCCGCACCTAGATTAACACAATACTTTAGATTGCATTTTAGTTGTCTCTCAACCAAATAAGACCATGCTCTTCCATATGAGCTTAGTTTATCAACCAGGTTGCACTATGTAGAGACAACACATGGAATTTCCAAAATGAGAAGAATAAAAGCTACATACTATCATACCTCTCAGTACCAATGCGAATACTAGCTGTATGCTGAGGACCCACCTCTGGATTACTCGATTTGCAACATTGGAACTGAGGCAATCTATCAACAGCAACATTAATTTTTGTTGTTCCCTGTTCAATTCAATGATAGCAAAACTCAAATCAACATGTCTTGAGTAAGCTGAAGATATAGAAACTAGTCCATGCTTGGAAAGAGATAGAAGTCGCATCAGAGAAATTTTTTCACTGGCATAAGAAACAGAGACTCGTCTACAAAGGTAACTTAAAACCAAAAGAAACATATGTACAATGCTAATCAATGTATCAAATATTCAAAGTTGCCAACTAAGGGTTCTCACAGAGCTGTAGTCAGAGTTCTTAATAGCATGAAGAAAGTCACCGGGAAGAAAATCTTGGGGCACCAACTCCTGTGTCAGAAAAATCATAATGTTTAACTTTGAAAGGAAATACAGGACTCATTGGAGAGAAATTCGAAAGGTTTATGTGAGTCTGGCATATCAGCTTGAAACAAATGATTTTGACAAAAACATGTTTCATAAGTATAAAAATAGCTGTTGATGCTCCTGTGTCATGGAATAAAAACATAATATTTACCATGAAAGTCTTGTAGGGAGTTGCATTCGATAAAACAACTGAAGAATGCACTTGTGTCCCATCACCCAGGCATACCTAGATTATAAATATTTTATCAATATCTGAATGAAATATTTACTTAGTTAAGAACATCTTGGCAATTCAGCAACTGAACTAACCCCATTCACTATGCCTGTGTCTCCAATCATCACTTGTGAAACCTAAACAGGGAAATAATATCATAAAAGTTGAAAGACAAAACCTTATAGAATGAAACAAATGGTTGTATACTAAAATGGAGGGGATGTAGAAACACACTAAAATGTCTAAGTTATTAGATACTCAATAGATATGAAAAAGTTAAACAAGAAGAACCGAGATGTTCTTTAGTTTAACATTATGCCAGTATATAATCCTAAAAGAAAACGAAAGATCTAGATGAAAATAATAAGACAACAAAACTTCATTTGGTGATTGCAGGAAACCTTAACGGAAATCAACATTGCCACACTACTGAAGGCCATACTTCAAGAGCTCAAATACCTCTGCATTGGTAACAATATGTACCCCAGCTTCTTTAGCAGCATTACTTATGGCCAATGATACAGAACCCATCCCACCTTCAACATGCCTACAAAGAATGCAGCTCATATATTATCAAATAGATTCAACGAACATTATTGGAAGCATAAATACGCATTATTCTGATATACAATTAACAATTATCCTACTCATAAACTTCACATATGAGGTACTTACGACCAAATATTACGATCACCGTCAACTTCACCCGTGACATGATGTAGCAGAACGTATCCACTCCCAGAATTATGGATACTTACCTACAAAATGAATATAGAGAAAGTCAGTTGATACTGCTAAAAACTAGCAGAGCATCATTAAAATTTTCATAATAGATCTGAACAACTAGTTTGGTTGCACTTCATGAAAGTAAAGGAGTGACAAATATGGTTACTCAAAAATTCTAATAACAATTCGTTTGTATGAAGGTGAGGGAGAGGAGAGAAGAAGTTCCAATAACAATTCTGGTCTGTCCTCCAAGATACTTTCTAACTTCCAAATCCACTTATCAAAGTAGGAAATTTTGTTATTATTATCATACTCCATCATGCTTCCAAAGATAATCCTTCTATACATTATCAAAGTATAAAAGTCCTACCATACTTCCAACGATAGCTTCTACTGCAAGTGTTCCCTTGAGTATATCCGACTGCATTACATCATTGGCATGTGAAAGTAAGATTCTTTGCTCAAATGACTAACATATCTCTTTAAATCAAGATGCACTTGTGATAGTCATATGGAAAATATGAAAACCACAAATGAACAGCTCAAAGGCAACCTCAAACCGCTTATTCAGATACTTTGAAGTTGGGGACAACAAAAGATCCACAAATTCCCTGCCAATTTTTAAAAGCATTAAAAGGAAGTGACTTGTTGGGAAATTCAATTGATAGTCAGATACCCATACTTACAGCATATCTTTTTGGCCTAAAGACAGAACTTGTTGCAGACAACGAGCCCAAAAAGCTGATTTGTGCCACTTATTCCGGAGGCCATCATAGATAGAGGAATGTTCCCAAGGGAAAGTTTCAGGGGTACGTGAATCCAAAACAAAATCCACAAATTTTTGGAACCTATGCAGCTGATTTTCGTAGCTATTAACCAAAACAAAAGATTGATTTACGAGCTCTACAAATTTTTTTGAATGAAGCTAAACATAAATTGATCGTATGATTGAATGAGGAAAAATTTGACCTTGTATAAGCATCTGCATCTCGTTTTGAGAACTTCGAAATTTCCAAGTGATCTTGTTCCTGGTTGAGGCCCAAAAGCAGATAACGCCCATCAAGACATGGTGTGAACGATGAAGCCAAAGGCTTCAACAGCTTCAATCCATGTCTCGTCAATTCCAGTTCCCTTCACCAAATCAAATTAGTAACAAAATTGAACTAAATTCAAACAATAATACCAAATCATAATATCAATGTTCAATTAATTCGTTGAATGCGGGACCCACGCAGGCACCAGACCCTACCTGGCGATGGAGGGGCGGAAGAGGCCGTAGAGGTAGCTGCAGCGAGTGAACTTGAAGCCGGGGATGATCTCTTCAGTGACGGCGGC